TAAAGAATTTTGCCTTTTAAGTAATTAAAATGATATAAAATGGTGGGTGACTCTTCAAATTCTATAATAATGTATATTTTCTATTCCAATGTTGTGTAACAACATAATCAATTTAATTAGCCATACCAAATTAATTAAATTGATTGGTTAGTTTTTTAATTAATAGATTAAGGAAGATGTAAAAGTACTAGTTAATAAAATATGTTATGGTCGGATCTTTCCTAGCAGTTTTGCCTTAAATCGGTATAAAAATAAAAAAATAAAATTTAACCCCTAAAAATCGAAAATAAAAATTCGTAGAATAATAAATAATTATAAATAAATATATTTCTGATGATTCATATATTTTAAAACCAATACAATGTATTTTTGTAATTTAATAGTTGTAAGAACAAAGTAAATGGCATTTTACTTCTAATTTTATATATATAATAAATTTAAACAAACAATTATTTAATTTATTTTATACACTACACCTTGAATGAGGAGCTATAAAATGAAGAAAAAAAGTGAGTACAAATTGATAGCAAAAAATTTCCTTTCTCATCTTTCAACAAGATGCCATAATGATCATGCAGGTCATAGAATTTCAAAAAATAGTAGCTTAAATTATAGATGTAGAAGCAAATTCTGCATGGTGAGCTATAATATTTTAGAAAAAACCCCATTTAAAGGAGCGAAGCTAGAAATTTGGAAGATTATTAGAATTTATGATTGCTGGCTTTATGGAATGAAAGTAAAGGACATTTCCTTTTTTCTAAGAATAAATAAAAATACTGTCACAAGACATCTTAAATCTTTAGAAGACTGCATAACTGACAATTTTTACAACAATATTGAACCATTAGGTGGAAAAAATATTATTGTTGAAATAGACGAGAGTAAATTTGGCAAAGTCAAATATCACAGAGGACACAGAGTAGAAGGTGTCTGGGTGTTTGGCATGACAGAACGAACAGCAAAAAGAAGAATAGTAGTTTTACCAGTGCCTGATAGAAAGAAAGAAACCTTAATTTCAATTCTTATGAAATATGTAAAGCAAGATTCCATAATTTACAGTGATTCTTTCTCATCATATAGCACCATAAAAGAATATTTTTCTATTCATAAAAAAGTAAATCATTCATTACATTTTGTAGATCCTGTAACCAGAGTTCATACTAATACAATAGAAGGAAATTGGAATGGAATAAAGCTTACATTACCTTTGAGAAAAAGAACTAAAAAATTAATAGGATTACAGTTAATAAGATTTATGATTAAAAGAGAAAATCCCGAAGATTTTCTTGATAAATTATTGAGTTATTTAAAATAAAGGTCAATTTTTAATATTATAAAGACATTATATTTTTATATTTATAATAATTATTTATTATTCTATGAATTTTTACTTTTGATTTTTGGGGGCTAAATTTTATTTTTATATCAATTTAAGGCATATCTGCTAGGATTTGGCCGTTTCTTGTATAGAATATTTCTACAGAAACAATTTTTAACATTTAGAAATTTAATTTATACCAATCAAAAATTATTAATAATTTTTAAGGACATAATTGATCTATAAATCTAATAAATTCAGTTGACTATTGAAATAAAACTATCAAATTTTACTTTATAATTGTTTTAAAAATATAATTTACAATTATTTCTTAAATAAATTGATTTTATTTTCATGAAAAAAAATATTTTAGAAAAGCAATATAAATGATTCAAAATATTTTCAATAATATTTTATTGAATCTCAAAGTATCGTTAATTTAAATATAAAAACAAAATGATTACATGATTTTATAATTTATGAAAAACGGATGATTAAGTGCTTCCTCAGCTGATATTCTTTTATCTCCATTTAACTCAAGCATCTTATACAAAAGATCATATCCATCCTCACACAAATTCAATTCAGGATTCAGTGAAGTAATTATTCTTTCAAAAGGAATTGAGTCATTAGGCACAGTAGTTAAATTCGATTTATATATTCTCTCATAATACTTTGCTACTTTTCTCATAGCCTCATGGCCAAAGATTGTTGCTATTTCTCCTAATCCATCTAATTCATCAATGGAATTAAAGAATGGATATTGTTTGGTACATAATATCAAAAATATGACACCAGCTGACCAAATATCTATTTTACAAGACTGTCTGAG